ATAAAAGAGTTTATATAGTAAAATTTAATGAAGTTCAAAGTATATTTCTAGAACAAGTCATAATTTTGTCATTTTCTAACATTGTTAGGACCAGTGGTTTAAAAAATGGATCAGTGCCCCGGCTCGAGCACTCCAAAAACCCATCTGGATCGGTGAATCAGTGTTTCAGATCGGGAATCAGCCGAATCAGTCGGATTCGGCCTTTAAAAAAATCTAAAAAAACTATTAATACAAATATTGTTTTTTAGGAATCCAATAAGAAATGGGAGTACTATATTAATAACTTTCAATTTTTTGCATCAATATGTAAATATTGAGATGTTCTTTCTATGTAAATATTGAGATGTTCTTTCCTTGTATGAACTGCTGCTAACCGTTGAATTTACATCACACAAAAGGAGAAGCAAAGAATTATCATGGATGAAATATATAATCATATATGGATTACAGTAACGCATATAATTCGTAAACTACAACCTAATACCAAAATGAAAGACAATGTTGTTCTTCATCTTGGTCACACAGGTGCCATTGATTGAATTCGCGTGATAATTCATTGACTCGATCTAGGAACGAATCATCTAAATTAGTGGGCACCTGAGATTAATTCACAGTTTTAATCAACAAATTATTTTAAAACTAATTAGCCAAAGAACCCTAAAATTTTACAATATGTACTTGCATTAAATAATTGACAATAAAGTTGAACAATAGAAGTTATTTTCGTATGATAATTATAAATTTACAATCAATTGAATATAATTCACAATTAATCAGCAAATTATTTTAAATTAATTATTCAAAGAACCCTATCAAAATTAAGGCCATAATCTTCAAAATCGCATGTGAACACCAACAATCACGATTTTTTCAAAATTCGATCAACAAAACATTGTCGATCACACAAATAACAATAACAATTATCTAAATAACATCATTACCTTCAAAAACCATCTGAAATCATCCAAAATGATGCCCTAATTCGGCTGAAATCATTAGTTTTGCGAGAAAAAAAAAAAGCCCTAAACTGTTCTTGAGAAACTGTGACTTCAAATCACAAATACACCATTAATCGACCAAAAACCCAGAAAATAGGCTACAATATCTTATGAATAATACTATTAAGATAAAAAATCCTCTGATTTGATAAAATATCGTGCCCTATTTAGTCTACAATCGATGAAATGGCAGAAAAATGAAAACCCTAACCTGTTCTTGAGAAACCGCGACTTCAAATCACAAATACACCATTAATCGACCAAACAACCCGAAAATAGGCTACAATATCTTGTGAATAATACTAATAAGATAAACAAAAACCTCTGATTTGATAAAAAATTGTGCCATATTTCGTCTACAATCGAAGAAATGGCGGAAAAATGAAAACCCCAACCTGTTCTTGAGAAACCGTGACTTCAAATCACAAATACACCAATAATTGACTACAAAAACCAAAAATAGGCTACAATACATTGTGCATAACACTATTATGATAAAAAACCCTCTAATTTGATAAAAAATCTTGCCTTATTTCGTCTGCAATTGATGAAATGGCCGAAATTTTGAAACCCTTACTTGTTCTTCAGAAACTGTGAATTCAAATCATAAATCCACTAGTAATCAACCAAAAAACCTAAAAATAGCTACAATTTCTTGTCAATGATACTATCAAGATCAAAAAGCCTTTGATTTGATCTAAAATCTTGCCACTTTTTGTCTGCAATTGATGAAATGGCGGATTTTTTTCAAAACTGTTTTTGTTCTTCACAAATCATTAATTTGTGGCTTCAAATCGATGGTAATTTCGTTTTTAATGATCAATAAGACTGTAAAGTGATCTGTGAAGGCTGCAATGATTCGATTTTGCTCAAATAATTGATCGAAAATCTTCAAAGTTTGATCATTGAGCTCAAATCATTCAACTTTCATTGCTCATTGTTGAAACTTGGTAGAATCAGCGAGTCTTCAGTAGCAAAATCGCCCCACTCTCCCGGTTCCTTTCTAAACACGGGCGGTTTCCTGTTTTGAGCTAGAATCGACACGGGGTGGCTGATTCCCATGTCGAATCGCCCGAGATCGTTCTAACTCTGTGATTTTTAAACCACTGGTTACGACCATTGCTGACTACTAGGGAATTCAGACAAAGTTTGCGGGCTATTAAATTCTTCATTAGAGAAAGAGAGATAATGCACTTGTGCCTATTTTGTAATTTGCCATTTGGCCATGTGTTCCTTCATTTTCTATACCCTCCTACTCTTGCATAGGGATAATAGTTTTTATTTATTTACAATGATGCAAATTACATCAAGGGGCTAGTTGGACCAAAGTACATATTTTTGAATTTGAAGTAGGGAAGCATCTAGAATTTTGTAATATTTGTACGTTGCGCGTGTTAGGATTGTTTTATTTGTTAAGTGCCATTTCATAATTTGTCATTATGGTGTTATTTTAGGTTTTAGTTCAAAGTCAAGTACGAATAGAGTGTTGTAGAGTACCCATGCAGTCAAAAAGTCAAAGCAGACTAATGTTGTTTTGAGTACCTTGAGTCAAAGAGTCAACAATGTAGAGTTCCTCATGAATGCAAATTTAGTTGAACGAATAGGGAGTTGCAACATAGGAACTTGGTCGCATGCAAGTTGATTCTAATGTGTGGGGAATAGGTTTTAAGAGCAGTTTAGTCATTTTGCAGTTTGTCAGGGGGAGTTTGTTAGGGCCAGTGAATCGGTTCATATATGATATACAGTGCTGTAAGAGATTTGACAGTAGTCGTTGATAATATTTTGATTAATGAAATTAAGCATTCGCTCCTAAATTGATGCAGTAGTGGATGCCTCTACTTTGCATGGAGGTGCAGCCTATTTGGAGTATTGGCGTGATTAGGGGCTGAAAGGACTTGTTCCTCGTCCTTTCTTGGCAGTGATCAAGGAAGTTTTCCTCTTGTTTGATCGACCAACATGATCGAAAGGTTGTTACTGAATCGAGCTCGGATCTCTCCTTAGGGTGTTGGGTTTTCATCATACAATAATCACAATACGGATATGTATATAATATTTTCTACAAGGTTGAAATCCTATATGAACCACACAACTCTAACAGAATCATCATGCATTTTTAATAAAAAATCAACAGCCTCATTCCATCAAGTTAAGGTTCTTCATGGTATCGGAGCATTTATCTCATTTAAATCGAATCCCTCTCCAGTAAAGGGAAGAGTAAGAGAAGGGTGAGGTTTATATAAGGTGGCCTTATACTGTGAAAGTAAGGCACCTATAACTTTTGCCGGGAGATGTAGTTTCGGTGTCAAAAAATTTATGACAACTTGAAAATCTATTTTCTTACCTAGTTGTCAAATTTAAAATTCCAAAATTGTACAGATGAAGCACATCTATAAGCTCTAAATATCTCCGACAGTCCAGATGACTTGTTACAAGATGCACTATTTTAGGACTTGAATTCTTTTTTTTTCCTCTCTGTCCATATCTATATATCTCGAGGTCAAGATGATTAATTCGAGGGTCTTCCAATGTTGGAACACTTTTCTGAAGGGATTTTGAGGTGTATCTTACTTTAATATTACAAGGTTGACACCTTGCATAAACTTTTTCCATAAATATTATAATTGAGACCCCATGAAACATAAAGAAGAAAAAACCCTAAGAAATAAACCTGGGCAAGGTTTACTGCTTTTGTTTTTGGACTTCCAAGTTTAGTGTTTTCAATGAGAAGACTGCTGCATGAACACATACTCTTCAACCATTAGAGAGAGAAATCAAGACAAGATCCAACTCAAGTTAAATGAAATAGTTGCATCTCAAGCTTTATCTCAAACATATAATAATTAAAAAAAAAAAGTCCCCTTTACGGTTTGCCATGGTTGTAGGATGTTCTCTGAAGTATGGGTAATGTAATAAAATGACTTGAATAATTGTTTGACACATTCAACCATTTTTCCCTTATTGGTTTTGTAGTTACCATTTTTCCCTTTTTATTAAAATACTTGTTAGGTGTTTTAAGTAGTGAATTGATAGTAGAGTTGTCATTCTAAGAGATGCTAAAACATTGTTTTAAAATGCGGAAGCATCACCACATATGCAGCCACATAATGCACTACGTGCTCCAAAGCACATCGCATAGTGGCACATATGCACATTGGTGGGATGGGGCCGCATAGCTCTGTGGACAGAAATAGTGCCTATGAGCAGAGGTGTTTTGGTCATCCCCCCCCAAAAAAAGGGGGGGAAAGGGTTTTGGGGATATTAAACCCCCCAAACAAAAAACAGCCACATTTGTGACTGTTTTTGGATCAAATGAAGAGCAAAACAAATTAGGCGGAAATGATGTTCGCAAAAATTGTCAATTTTCTCTCAGTGTTGGTTGGGTTGTTGATTGGGATTAACTTGGGCGTTGTTTTAAAGAAGCTTGAGCATCGACAACATACCAAGGGTTTCAAGGCGAGTTTGCAATTGCAAGTATGGCTTTTGGATTTTTATGAATTATGATAATATGATGCCTTCAAATGTCTTCTATAAAGTTACTTTTACATTTCTAGTTTTTTCCAGTGTCTTCTAACAAGGGATTCAGAGTCTCTGAACAGCTGATAATGTTGGAGTTAATGAAAAACTTAAGTACCTAATATCACATAAATCACGTTCATATCATTTTCATGCATTAATCTATTTTTTTGAAATTTTTTATAGTTATTGATGGCATCGGGGCGATGTTCCAGCATCTGGACCGCATCCCGCATTTTAAACATTGTGCTAAAAAAGTCTTCACTGAACCATTCTAGGACACTGACATGGTCTATGTAGGTGATCCACGAGTAATTGAATACTTGAGGTTATGATTATAACAAAAGTAGTGACAGAAATTGTACAGAGGTGATGAATATGATGCTATGCAAGCAAATGATTTGGAACTGATAAAAAATGCAGAAATGCAGCTTACAAGCACTCATAATAAATAAATAAATAAAACATGAAAATAAAACACAATTGAACCTGAGCCATGACCACTCGATAACTGTAAGATTGTGTTGGAGCACCATGAACAAAAATAATTGTTCCACGTTGGGTTTTAGATGATCCTGCAATGACCGTGTGAAAAGAAAACATAAACTTTGGTATACAGCACAACATCCAAACAAACAACAAAACATGAATAGGATATGATCTATGAATCTCTAAAATAAGACGTACTATCTGACTTGATAATACATAACAGGTAAACTCGAAAGTCAAAATTAAGAAACATAGAACTACTAAAACACCTAATTTCAGAAGTGAATGACTCAAACTGAGTATGGTACTCAAACAGATCATGCATTGGTCACAACCTTGACAAAAGCATGACCTCTCTATTCAATATCTCAATTGAACTGTATGTTATTTAAGTTCCAGTTAGCATTTGATAAGCGGTTAGCATTTGATAAGAATCACAACCAATACCCCTGCCTAGTGAGGGAATATATGTGGACTCTGGTAATGTGTATGATGCTTTCCGTTCTAAGATATGAGAAAATAAATGATACACTGCGATACACACTACACCCACCATCCCTACCATTGATGGGGGGTCCTCATCACATGAACCCTGAGCATCACACATCCCCACATCTCAAGGGTAACATCCCCATCAATGCTGGGACCGCATGATCTGAAGTGTATCACCATATGTGATCTCAAAACAAAACCTATTGGATGGTACAAAATAAAAATGATCGGATCCATTTCATTAGTTTTCTCCCAAATCATGCCCGCTAAGATGCCAATACCATATATTATTGTGTTACTTCTTGGGACCAAATTTATTATTTGACATGAAATGTTTTCTCATGCATGCTTCACAAATCCTATTTATAGTTTGTTGCAACATCTTGTTGTCACTGTGGTATACCATTAACCCAAAACTAGATTTGAGAAACACAGACCCACCTGAAAGAGAAGATAAAGAGAGTGGTTGTTCTTAGAAAAAAATTTATGCACCTAATTTTGATCAATAGCATAAAAGTACAATTCACTAGGAATGGATAAATTGCTTCCTTGACTAGCAATAGAGAGAAAAATAACTAAGTTCACCAAATAATCAAGGCGACCCCATATCATTCTGGAAAAAGCAAATATCATCAATTCCAAGCCTTCAGAAACCATTTTACAGTTGTCACATGAATAACTTTTCATGTAGACCACCAAAGCAAGACAACAAATATGGCATATGAAAACCAATATATGAGTATAACACCATTTGATGTCTCATCAAGAAGAAAGAGATACTTCAATAAAAATAGCTGAGAACACCCACCTGTTTCTCTCACAAACCATCGAAATTTGCCAGCTTTGACATAAGACCCATATTCTCTCCCCTTATCCTCTATCCTCTGAAAATCATAATGTCTACATTAAATTTCCAATGTATAAAATGCAACGAGTGCTATGGAGTACTTTATCTATCAATGCACCAGGTCTGCTTCCCATAAAGATGCAGAAAACATAACAATAAAGTCACCAACGACATATCTAATGACCAGAATGATGTTTACGTCATGTGATCAACCATGTTGAGATCCAAGAAGCAAAACTTCAGTGATAAGAAAATAGAAATGAAGAAGCACACAACCTAAAATCTCTAATAATTTGAAATACTTACAATGTCATATATGGGAACATATCAGAAGAAGCATGTGCTATGTGTGCAAATAGGTAGAAATATACGATACAGGGAAGAAGAGAAAGAAAATAAACAAACAAGGAAAATAAAAAATAAAAAAAAAGGGTGAGAAAATTATACTCTCTCTAGGTTTGTAAGGGATTCCACCCAAAGATAAAGAGATTTGACTCCGTTTCTCTAGGTCTGTAGGGGGTCCACACCAAAAGTTCTTTTCACAATACTCAAATAAATTCTTGTTCTCTTTTTTTTCTTGTCCAACACTTAAACAAAAACCCTAGAACCTATACTGCTCCTTAAGAAACAAACCACAATTAATCCTAGCCGTTCCATCTATTTAACATTTAACATCCAGCTATACCTCTCAATTCCTTATAACTAAAAAAAGACACAAATATCAAAAAAGAAAATTAAAAACCCAAACCTAATTTTAGTATCAAAAAGACATAGTAAAATAAAAAAAATTAAAAACCCATGACATCATTCTCCCTCTGGGGGTTGGGAAAAACTTAACCTCGAGCTTGTTGTGTTCATTACATCTTGTAAAGGCCGTTTCAATAGTTGGTGATGAAGTTTCACCCTTCGCCAATGCATTGTCTTCTTCAATGAGCCAATAAATCAAACGCTTAATGTTGAAGTTTGATGTCTTGTATTATGAGGAAATATATTTGCCAAGGTTCGGATATATCCGTACATGAGATTTGATATATCTGGGACTTGATATATATATATACTATATATATATATATATATATATATACTATATATACTATACTATAGTTAGTTAGTTTACGTTACTTACTACTATTACTAGTCGTGTACGT